CGAGAGAGCAACAGGTTTTTTCACTATGTCAAAACGAGATGAAATAAACGTTTACAGCTGGACATTATTGATCCAGCGGTAATGGTCCTTGAAATAATAATAATATACATGTAACTTACGTTCGACGTTGACTAATCCGAAATGGTAATAGGCGAGAGAAAAGTACGGTTTTCTTAGGACAAGAGAGAGACAAGCGGCCGGCTTGAGACCATTTGAGATGACTAACTAAAAGGTGCGGCTGCACTAGTAAAACTTGGAGAGAAGATAAACTTGAAGGGTCGCGAGGACTAGATTGACACAAGAAAAAACTCGCGACTGCACAGATCAGATTCCCGACAAAACTTAGTGTAGCATTAACTGAATAGACTCCCGAGATTGACTTAAGAAGCTGACTAAAAACTAACTGACTAAAAACTGCAAAGATTGACTTGGAGCTGACTGACTAACTTGAAGACGAGACTCTTATTTATAAGCTCATTTCTCTCTTTCTCTCTTTCTTTCTTTTGTAGACACGATGGTCAGTATTTTTTATGGGAGCACCAACGGACTTATCGTTCCACGGTGTTCTCAGGTTGCTGAAATATAGCGAGAGACGGATTATGAACATTCGTTCTCACGGAGCGGAAAATTTTAGTTTATCTAAGTCGCATATAATATCTGAAAGCAGTATAACATAAGTTTAGAAGACGTGGAGAAAAATTACGCGGGTCTTGGAGTTTCGCACGCAGTGTCACAGAGCACATTTAAGGTTTACATCATAGATAACGGAACATAGACGACAAATGTATCTTTGAATCTTTGCGACATTGTTAAATTAGGTAGGTAGGTGAGAAAAAATTCGACGCACCGCTTACACCGTGTGCATGTTATTACGCGCGATGTCAGACGATGCGCGATCAGGTACCTGCAGTGCAAAGTATTGGCACACTGATAAGTCACGGAGTCCTCAAAGCTTATCCTTGAAGAGATATTTACTTTGATTAAAATTTAGTGGTCAATCTGCGTAAAGATTCTTCCGCTATTTGGCGTTGGGGACTGCCGTATCTAATTTAATTGAATTTAACAAACTCAAAAATGGGTAATTAAAAAGTGTGTATTATTTTAATGAAGCAAAGTATAAAAAACAATATGATTGGGACTACAACTAATATTATAATTAATTTTGGAAGAACGGCGCCGGTGCGATGTTAACAGGCGCCTGTTGTGGAGAAAGAAGAGTGTAGGGAAAGGAAAGCGAAAAAGAAAAGCTATAAAAAAAAACAGGGCGATGAGGGAATTCCGGGATAATTCGGGACTTAACTTAAGAATTAGAGGAAAATATAAAGTTTAAAATATTGCGTACAACAGCATTACTACGTTTAACGGATTGAATAACATTGTAACTAAAACATTGTAAACATACATATGCATATGTTTGAAATATAATTAATCATAATGATCAATGAATAACAACGTTTTATTATCAAATATAAGGTATTTATTGTGAAATATTAATAAATATTAATATTTTTTACCTTTTCTTACGTTATCGAACTTCGTGCAGATGTGTTTCAATATGATAATATTTATTCAATAGAATAATGCTGTTATATACCGGTAAATACTATTTCATATCTGTACACACGGCTTTTCCACAAAAATTATGCAAAAGATCAAAAAACTTTTTTTTTTCAAAACTGTAACACAAATAATAATTAAACAAAAAGGCAATAATTAAAAAATATATAAAAAATTATTAATATTAAAAGAAATTTAAAACATTCACGTAACGATATGCATTAACGAACTTGCACCTGCAACGGTTACGAAAGCGTTACGATTTAATAAGAATGTTTCCACGTATTTTTCAAAAAGTCCGTATGTTGGAAAATCATATTATTACATATATTTGCATTTGGCATTAAATATACTTTTATTCGGTGAAAACAATAAAATTATTAAAAAATTTGTGAATGGTGCGGGTATGTTGACAATAATGACATTTTTCAAATGTCTGATTATGTCATTACAAATTATTTCTAAACCTATTTAATTCTTATTTAGAAAATTGTTTTCTATCGCTTATATGATTAACAATACATGCTCCTAAAGAAAAAAACCTTTTTTTTCAAAGGAATATGTTGCCCTTTAAAATCCGCTTGGGCACATATTAAAAAATATGTATCTCTTCTTTTGGTCTGAATCACAATATATTAGGTTGGGGAAAAAGAAATCCATTATTTTTTCGGTAGATAGCTGTAGTGATCGATATCTCGTAAAGTAACGATCAAACAATTTCAGATTTATGCTCGTTGGAAAAGTGACATTTCGCACTAAAAATATTCTTTTGTTATTTTTTGTTTGGACCATTCAGTTGTGAGTTACAGGGTATTCAAAATGGAAGTCAACAAAGAGAAAATTCGGTACATTTTACAGTTTTTCTTTGATAAAGGCGAAAATGCAAGCCAGGCGGCTATAATTGTGAATGGTGTTTATAGTGCCGATACTGTAACAGTCAATTACGTGCAATTTTGGTTTCGTCGATTCCGTTCAGGTATTTTTGATGTTAAAGATGCACCTCGCACAGGTAGGCCCGTCGTCGAAAATGTCGATAAAATCACAGAAATAATCGACCGGCATGTTAGCAGTCGTAGCATCGCCCAGAAGCTAAAGATCGACCATAAAACAGTTTTAAACCATTTGCACAAAGCTGGATTCACAAAGAAGCTCAATGTTTGGATGCCACACCAATTAACACAAAGAAACATGATGGATCGAATTTCCATCTGCGAAGCCTTGGCCAAATGAAATGAAATCGACTCATTTCTTAAACGGATGGTGACTGGGGATGAGAAATGGGTCACATGTGACAACATTGTGCGAAAACGATCGTGGTCAAAGCGCGGTGAAGCAGTTCAAACGGTGGCCAAACTAGGACTAACGGCCAGGAAG